AAAAATCGCATTAAAAACAAAACAAAATTTCGTACTCATAATACATTTTTTATATTACTTTAATTTATATTAATTATTATTTTCTGGAGGCAATTAAAAACACCGCTTGTTTCGATACTTTATACTCATCCTATATATAATTTACGGTTCTATGTTGTTCTATTGAGGACTTTTTAAATTAAATAATAATCAAATTGAAATAATTAACAGTAAGTACGAGGATTCAAAACAGATTTTGTAATAGGTATTTGTTCCTTATATTGTTTTGTAGACTTTATGTATTGTTTATTTTCTCATAATTTTTTTTACTTTACTTGAGAATTTATGTTATGTTACGTTTTCAGAATAATTTTTTTTGTGTTTACACGGTGTTTCACGAGTAACAATAAGCCTGAACATTTTTTTAAGCAACTAACATTACATTTCAAATAAATAAGTAGTTATTAAAAACAAGAGATTATATAAAAAAGCGAAAACAATAAAAAGTAATTACAATTAGAGCAATTTTGAAAATACTATTATATATGAAAGTAAAAAAATAATATCAGAAAATTATTTAATCAAGCACAAACCATAAATATCACATCAGTTTAGTTTTATTTAAATATGAAATTATTTAGAGTTGTGTGGAATTATTTGGAAATATTTTAGAATTTTTGACATAAATGTAATATGATGTACGATTTATTTTCAAAATTTTTTTGTGATTTTCCCGGCGCATCCGCCACAGTGGAATAGTTTGCAGAGGAGGGCGTTTCGAGCCGTGTTGTGTTAAAGTGGCAAACTAATTAAAATTAATTGCGACTGTAAATAGCTAATTATCCCGTCTTTCTTTAAAATTTATCTTCGTAGGTAGTCGTAGGTAGAGCCACTAACATAGTAATGTTCTAATTGCAGTTTCATCTCTCGCGGTGGTATTGTTTAAAGAATTTAATATATCGCTTGTGGAGGTACAAAAGATCTTTGTTTTTGCCCCTTAGATATTCCCTGATGGCATGCTGAACAGAAACTTGAGCAATTTGCAAGTTCACAACGTGGCAGGCGCAGTCTTCCCCCAAAACTCTCAGACAAACGGTTACACATCATAAGTTGCGGAATGTCTTTAAACTCCTTTACCTACATCCACTTATGCGCCTCAAACATTCCACCGAAGCGATTTTTTGCAATGCTAGTTGTTTAATTACTTGATTCGACTGCTATTACCATTTACATGGCCACAGGTTCAACTAATTACAATAACGGGTCATTTGCATGTGCTTTTATTTCCACTGGACATACAGGCCAGATGTACTTAGCTTCGAATGAATTTTCAACAGACGAAAAAACGAATATTGAAAATTGAACACGTACACACTTCCATCTCACCTGCTCGACATTTGTATGGATTACAAGCAAGAGCTTTAAAAATAAAACTATTGCAAGGAATCGCGAATTACTTATCACAAGGAACTTCACTCTGCTTTAATTTTTAAAGAAGTGTTCTCTACGAACCACGATTTTGTATTCAGGCGATCGCAAGAGTTAAAAGTTTTAGTACTGCAGAGGTTATTCAAAATGTTTACTTCATTAACACTACTGGCGGAGCATAAAATAGCTATTTATGTTGTTTTGATAAACAAACATCCTTTAAAAACATGTAAATTTTGTGTTCCGTTTTGAATAAACATTTTTATTAGAAAACTAAATGTTGACTAAATGTCCCAATAAAAGTTCTACTCGTATTTTTGCGCCTAAGCGTTTTTACTTTTACTTGACATGACATGATTGACAATGAAGTTCCATTCTTTTCTCTTTTGTTGCTTTAACAATTTTTAGTGAGGTACATTGTAGATCATCATTCATCAGCAAACAACATTTAACACTACTAACTGCACTAGTCAAATTAATAAACACATTTGAAAATCTCAACACAAAAGTTTGTTTATAAGCTTTGTTATGATTTCATTGCTTACAAAGCGTCCTGATTATTTTGTTTATTTACGATCTAATTATAGTGTTGCTCCTTACTCTCGATCTGAATACATTTGTGTTATTCAGGGTAAAAGTGAGTTTAAGTGGCTCAACTGAATTATTTGCTTTTTTAGAGGTTTTCAAAAGAAAGAAAGATGAACTTGCGACAAAGTGCAGACTTGTAATCTTCGAAATCGGGAAAATTCGTCGATGCATCCACGTAAAAACTGTATATATCGAACGTCTTGATTGAAGAGTGGTAGTTCGGCGTTCTCTTATTGTCAATATAGTCGATCCTTGGCGCAATCAAAACCCCTGAGAAAAATCTGGTGTGCTTTCAGCAAAATTTGAATACTCTGGAATGAATTTCATTATGACCCAACGTCAAATAAAAAAGTTATTGGTCATTTAAAAAATCGTAAAGTCCCGAGATGAAGTCTGTCTGGAAAATCTAGTATTTTTTCGTACACGGTTTTTACATGAAAATTTGATTTTCATTATGAGTCTTGCAATAAAACGGAGACGTGTCGAGAGCCAGATTTGAAAAGTCGGATTCGCTCATGCGGAAGTTTCATCGTTGCACCGGATTCAATATAGTTTTGGGGCGTGTTCTCTTTGTTGGAAATTGCTCGGTGACAAGGGATATAATTAGGTTGTCATTGAGATTATTGATGGGCGATGTGTGGGGCTGCCAGCGGCACTCGCGCCAAGATTAGGCCACAATTAAGCAAATTGAAGAAATTTTGCGCTTTTCTGATTAATCACGCGGAGAAATTCAACATCTCCCATATTCCTTTCAATATGTATGAAGTTTCAGACATTTTCGGAGGGTTTAACCGCAAAACATAAAATTTAGATGGCCTTACAAGGATACCCGGATCGGAACTACAGAGCTTAGGTCCATTAAATCTCACTAAATACTAGTAATCGGCCGATAGAATAACAGCCTAAACCCAACGTAAGACAATTAGTTTGAGAGGACACAATGCCAGAAATCATGTAATTTTAACAAATTATTATCGGTCTAAAGAATTTAAACATCAAATAAAAGCACTTGCAAAACATCGTGCAAAAAGCGACAAAAAAACATTTTTATTGTCTGTACAATATTATTCTCTGTTAGTGTGTAGCACTTAGAAAAGTTAAAAAAATAATTCTTAATTGAAAAGCTCTCATGCTTTTATGTATATGCTCTTATTTGCTCTTATGTTCTTTCTCTTTGTTAGGCTTTGTTCTTTAATTATTTGCGCTCTATCTCTGTCTTATAAATAAATAAAGAATAAATAAATAAATAATTATATTAAGTTAAGAATAAGGCTAGAAGCATAAGAACTATATCCGATTCTGACCAAAAAATCAAAAATTTTTGTTTTACTTATTAGTTCATGTGCACATTTAGTGCACATGTTTTCAAGACGATATCTTTGACGCTTATTTGAATTGTTAGTATTTGAATCAGAGAAAAATTTCTGACTTTACCGAGATTTGAACCTTGGTTCTACCTGCCAGAAATAACCCTGCGCCACCACGCTTCTGCCAGTGAATCCAAATACTCAAAATTTTTCAAAAGTTTATTATTATGAACTTTATTATTTTATGCACTTTTCTGAGTCTTGTAGATTCCTATAAGCACACTTGGATCAATTTTGAAGTTTTTAATCGTTGGAAAGCACTTTGAATTTCCTATCTTATAAAAAAAGATCATAGTTGTGCAATAAATAGTTACTGAGAAAATCGCTGGTAAAAATAAAAATATTAAAAATATTAATTCGACTTCTAAACTATCAAGAATTTTAGTATTTTCTCGACGCAAATCGACTCCCCAAAACATTTTACATAGGTTTGATACAAAACATAAAGCGTTTTCAATATACTTTAGCCGGAATTAACAAAATAAAAAGAAGTAAATGTATGTGAACACACTCCTCTTTAAAAATGGCTTTTTCAAACATGTCAGTTTAAGCTTATCCAATCTTATAGATTTTGACGCACTGATTACGAATCTGCAAGACTTTTCACTCTAGCTTCTCTAGTTTGGGCCTAATCGTAATCTAGAATACTATGTTTCAAGTATTTTTGCTACTCAAAATTGATCGATCATTTTTACGAGTACGATGCAACTTCTGAAAACTCAAAAAAAATCTTTTTTTTTAACTCAACTTAATAACGTTTTATGCAGATTTCTAAGTTTTCTACAACCTTTTTGCACACTTTTAAGTATATTAAACATCTAGAAATGCATTTTTTGAGAAAAATATTAAAGTAGGTGTTTATGTGTGTGTAGCATTTTTGAAAAATTAAATAAATTACTAAAATTACAAAAAAACACTCCCATGCTAGAAGTGAAAGTAATCAAAACCTACACCAAAAAGACACAAAATTGTGTTTCAAAATCACGTGTGATGAAAATAAAACGTGACTTGACCTGGCCTCTCAGTTACAATCAATTATTGACCGATTTTTTAAAATATTTTATGATTTTTAAAACAAATAATTTAAACAAGAAGACAGAAAGTCACAGCCGTGGCATTTTCTAACACACATTTCTTGTTCTTTTTTTGGAATTATCGTATTTTAGTGGAGTTTTTTGTCGCAGGCTTCCTCAACGCCAACACGGACCCTTACTCTCGTTCTCCGGCCAACTACGGCCTCATGGACCAAATAGCCGCCCTCCACTGGATTCAGGAAAACATCGCTGTATTTGGCGGAGATCCAACAAACGTTACCGTAGTAGGCCATGGAACTGGAGCGGCTTGCGTCAACTTCCTGTTAACGTCCAGCGCAGTTCCTGAAGGTATGTTTGAGTGTCGGAAGGGTTTTTATCTTTGAAATACTGTAACGACTCTCTGGGAAAAAAACGGCGAAAATTAAGTCTTCTCGGGAGAAACATCGATTTTTCGCTTTATTCCACCTGTTTACATTCTGCGTGAGTTAAATAAGCGATCGTTAATCCTGCGAAACAACATTAATCTTTGACCTTTTTCCCTTTTGCATTTACTTAATTTCATGGATACTGTCGGGAGAGGAAAAAGTATTCGCGTGAGCTTTTTATGATGCAGTTATTAATAAAATGTGTATTTAGAAGGCTTAAGCGCGAATTATGAGCTCTCTCGGTCTGTCCATCAATTTGCAAGAACGTGACAAAGGTTTTTATTGGGTATTTGTCACAATTTCGCCCTAATTATATTCATTTGTGTTAGTTTTGATTGAGAATGGGTGTTGTAATTGCATTTCCCTTTAATTCAAAAGTACGTTATGATCTGGTGCACAACATGTGCTGCTCGTTTTGTCTTAAATGCGATTTAGTCCTAGCTGTCGATACCTTCAAAGAATCTCATTTCGCTTCATAATTTATCACAAGCTTCATGAAACACGCTCCGTACTTGATGAACAAGCTCTCAGTGCATCAGAAATAAAACTTTGCTCTATTTTCAATTTACAGAATTCGACCGAATTGAAATTAATTTTTCCACTGGCATCTTTCATTTTTATAAAAATCGCCCTAATAAAAAGGAATTTCGAACAATTTTCCGCTTTGACGTACAATTTTTGAGTTCAAAGGAATTCATTTACTTAGATTGGAGAAATAATAGCCTTTTTGTTACTTTGGTGTTGTTTTTGCGGGCTTGCATCTTATTTATTTCGTCTTGCAAAGGACTGAAAAGTTCTAATAAGTCACGCATTCATTAAAAATCAATCAGCATTTCGCGTTGGTGCTTCTTGAAGATGGCATTTCAAAGAGAGCGTTCTTATCGATCGTTGTCAGTTCACTTCCGGCCAATAAGTCAATTACAGGGTAGGGTAGGGACAATGGCAGTTGGCAGAGCTTCAAGACGCCCATAGTTTGATTTACAGTCAGGAGATAGCGTACCGCAATTTGGTTTGAATATAGATACGTATTTAGGAGGTATCGACTTAAATATAGGCTGATTTATGCCCTAATACGTACCTGTGCGAAACTCTTTTATTCTATCGGTGTCATTTGCACAATGCGACCGTATTTGTAGGGTATTTGTCAGAACTTCATTTTTGAGTTAAATTTCCCCACGGAGGACAAAACTGAAGCAGCCCCAGAATACCGAATTCGAGCCCGGATCAAGTAATTGACATTCAAATCACTGCAACTTAACTCGCGAAAGACAGAGAAGGGAAAAATTAAGGCGCAAGAAACGATTTGCATCGCGACCGCTATTAAACTGTCAAGCAAAGACATTAGAGGAGTATTAAGAACTGGAACCAGTATTTACTAGGAATAATTAGCTTCGTTACTTGAGAATAAAGCAACTGTGAGTCTTGCAACTTCTGACTCAATCCAATCGTTGGCAAGTTTGAGCGAAAAAAATTTCGTTTATAAATCCACCGAGAGGGAACAAGGTGATGCGTGAAAATTTATCATGCGGAGAACACAAACGAAACCGTTGTAAACACAGACGCTGAAAGATTAACCTTCGAAAAGAAAACAATTACAAAAGCGAGATGTTGCGAATATTTCACGCTGTAATGGGAAATGTACCACGGGGATCTTCGCAATTTATGAACAACTGGAGAGTAAATTTTTAACTCCTAAATGTTGTTTGCAACCACGGGCGTAGACTACATGAATACAGTGTGCGCCAAAACTAGCACCCCAGAGAAAGATGCCATGTAGAGTACAATACCAAGAACATGGAAAAAATGTTTAAAAAATGAAAGTCACTTTGACTCTATTTATTTCTGTTGGAAACATATTTTTACAGACTATTAGAAGAGAAAACAAGAAAGCTGTATCCTAAATTGTAACTCTGGTTAATGTTATTTGAGGCTTTTATTGGCAAAATTTTTGTACCTTTACTAAATAATTATAAAAAAAACATATACAAGATCATCAGTATCATTAAATAAACATAAAAAAAAATGTCAAATGTGAAAAATAAATGCCAAGATAGAATATTTAAACATTTCATCCATCCATGTTCCTGGTATCTTATCTTACATGATTTTTTTCCCTGGGGCGCGAGTTTTGACACACCCTGTATATCGGAGCGGATGCACCCAGTGAAATTTTTTAATGAGTGCCGGACACCCATTAAAAATAATGTACAGTGATGGATAGTGAATTTCGTCCACCCAATTTCAGTAAATTCACAAAAAATCACTGTAGTCTCTGCTTTATTGTCATGATAACTGAAATTCAAATACGTATTGTCAAATTTAATCAAATTCAAACATGCCAGCAGTAAGTGCGTTTAATAAAATAAAAATTATCTCTCTGGTACATGAAGGTATGTCTCAAAGAAGTGGGCATACCAAGGACTACCATTTCAAAGGACAAAGGTAAAAAGTAGCAAGAAGCATCGAGCATTCTGTCAACATGACAAACGTTAATCAAAATTCGGAAACAAGGTTAGGAAACCTAAAGACTAATTTACACTTTTAATCTGTCAGGGAAATTGGGTGGACGACATTCACTGTACTCTTACTTAAGAAAAAATAATAATAATAATACTTACAATACTTGGAATTGCATATTTAGTCTAGTCTTTTTTTAGTAATGTTGCATTCTTTAAAATCAGTTTTAATGTTAAAGATGTATTAAATTTTCTATTATTATATTTTCTCTTTCAAGAAAATGAATCAAGTTCATCGGTTATGTTATTCTATTGTGTTTTTCCACTGTACCTCAATGAAAAAAAATAGTTGTATTTATATTTGAAAAAATTCATTTTGAAACTTCAAGTTTCTAGTCTTGAGATCTTTTGGCAAAAGATTTTTGAAATTTGTAATAAAAAATCAAGTAACAATATAGATTAATTTTTGAGACCATTCAGCTTTACCCTAATCCTCTAATTTTACTCATCTCAAATTAACTGCATTTATTAAAAGTTTATACCCACAAGCTATTTTCAGCACTCGGTTTACGAACATTTATTCAAATTTTCAAAAAAAAGCTAATTTTTTTTAATTGTTTCTAAAGTTTTTTTTCCCATTTTACAGCAAAACTTAAAAATTTTATGCACTTTGCAACTTTGAACATATATCTACCATTTTCTTTACACTTTTTATTGTATACATGCATTAACCACTTTTATATTTTTTGCTGCTATTTATTGATTCTTTCTTTTGTACTATATAAAAAACATATTGTTTTTAAATGTTCTGAATATTAAATACATTAATACAGCAAAAATAGAGAAGAAGAATTTGTTTTTTTTTGCTTAATGTTTTCAAGTCCTGCAAGTTATGTACATATTGCTTTAAAGACGATTAATTTACGAAGTTTTTTGTTTATGCACCCATTGAACATATGAAAAGTCGGTGCCCATGTTTGCAACTACTGGGTTTGTGTCTAGCAAGGCGTTTGCCGAGCTGAAACGCGAGCGGGTTGTTGATTTTGCTCATCTAGTGTAATGAAATCGCTTTCCGTAGAGGACGACTTTGTCGGTAATTAATATGGTGCAATAAGAGAACATTTGCATTTGTCTTAGACGAGGAGGAAATGAACCGCCCGCTCTAGACACACATTTTAGCAATTTTCGAGCAACTTACTTGCAGCGTCTAATTATAATTCAAGACGAGATCGTTTTTAATTTCCACGGGTGGAAAATAATACGTTATTAAAGTCGACAATTGCCTCGTAAAAATAAACGACAACGTAATAAAAATAAATAAACCTCTTGAGACTACGACTCAAACTTCATTACAAAACACTTTACAATCAGAAGAGTGTAAAGTCACTAAAAAAGCAACGCAACACCACAATGGGGATATATCGATTCTCGTCTGTCATATTATTCGGAAACCGACTGTTAAAACCTCTTAGGTCAGCGGTCACACCATTCCTCCTGAAATATTAAGTGTGGAGCGGTATTTTCTCAACGAAAATGCTCCTTCAGCACTACGAAATGACTTCATAAATTGAGAGGATCAGCGAGATGTTTTTTCCATCAAATATCCGCAACATACAGCTTCTTCTTGTAATTGTTTTTCTGCCACGGTAATCTTTCAGCGTCGCGTTTACAACGGAGTGGGTGTGCGTCCCTTTCAGTGATAAATTTTCATGCATCACCTTGTTTCTTTCAGATGTCAAACACCGAAATAGTCCAAATGATAAATGGTTTATGCAAAATCGAAAACTGGAAACTGTATTTTATTAATTAGTTGTTTGGTTGCAGGTGTGCTGTTCCACAGAGCCATCCTCATGTCGGGCTCGGCACTCTCGCCCTGGGCGTTGATCCAGGAGCCGTCCCGGTACGCCGCTCAAGTGGCCATCCATGCAAACTGCTCGCCAGAACTGCCACATCCCCACCTGCTCAAGTGCCTTCGAGAGAGACCCCTGGACACGCTCCTGTCCACGCCGGTTGTCGCACCGGAATTCGCTTTCGCTTTCGGGCCCAGCGTCGACGGGGTGGTTATCGACACCGGAGAACCGCCAGGTAACTCCTCGAAAAATTACGAAAAACTTTGAAATACGATATCGAGAACGCCAGAGCACATCTCAATTCCGTTCGCAGAGTCGAAATCCTTGAGATGTTTTCTACATTCTGAAAATTTTTCAACACAAAACTTCAAAGGGTGAAGCAGAGAGACAATAAACAAAATCGTGCTCTTAAAACAGCCGAAATACGAGGTCTAGCTTTCGAAATCAGTTTAGAGGTTTTCAGTTTCTGAATTTACGCTTAAGAAGCGTTGTACACAAATTTTTCAGGTTTTTTATTTGTTTTTTACTTTTTTGCACATATCAATGTTCTCAGAACAAATAGGGTGAAAAATAACGCTTTCGAAAAATATATTAGAAAAAATAAGAGACATTAGGTCTACTTTGAAATATGATATCTCGAGAACGCCAGAGCGCATCTCAATTTCGTTCACAGAATCGAAATCCTTGAGATGTTTTCAACACTCTGAAAGTTTTTCAACACAAAACTTCAAAGGATAAAGCAAAGGTGTTACAATACACAAAATCGTGCTCTTAAAATGGACAAAATACAAGACTTAGCATTTGGAAAATGCATCTCGGAGACCAGTTTATATAAATTTACGAAGTTTTCATTTGCTAAATTTTTGTAATGTAAAAAAATTGAAAAAATCAAAAATCGACAAAAAATCTCAAATTTGATCAAAAAGTATAACATTTATTTTAGCGGTCTTAGATTTGTAATTTAAGAAATAACGCTTTAAAAAAATGTCAGAAAAAAGTAGGTTACATTTGGTCTACTTTGAAATACGATATTTCGAGAACGCCAATTCTGTTTGCAGAATCAAAATATTTGAAATGTTTCAACTTGATAAAAATGTTTAACATAAGACTCCAAAAGACGGAACGAAAGTTAACCAATGTACAAATGTATGCTCTTGAAATAGGCAAAATGCAAAACCTAGATTTCAGTTTAGATAGATTCACAAAATTTGTATTTTCTAAGTCTGCTTGTACTCGTAGGAAAACTTATTTTTCAAATTTTCTTTATTTTTTTGTAAAAAATTAAAAGTCAAAAAATCTAGTAAAATTTGGATACTTAAATAGAGTTCATTAAATTGAAAAATGCAATATTTTGTGTCTTAGATTTGTAATTTATGAAATAATGTGTCTGAAAATATGAGCCAGATTAGATCTACTTTGAAATATTTCGAGAACACCACAACGCATATCAATTCTGTTTGTAGAATCAAAATCCTTAAACAGTTTTCTACGTTACAATAGAAATTTTAGCCCAAAAATTAAAAAAACGGGGCGACAGTTTCCCATTATACAAATTATGTACATAATTTTTCATATTTTTAGTTGATTTATTTATTTTTTGTTACTATCTAAAAAAAAATGTGTGAATAGAGCTCATTGAATTGATTAACAAATGTTAAATTTTAAAGGCCCAAAATTTGTAATTTAAGAAACAACGCTTTAAAAAACTGTTTGAAAAAATGAGCCATATTAGATCTACTTTGAAATACGATATCTGGAAATCGTCACAGCACATCTCGATTCCGTTTGGAGAATAGAGATTCTTAAAATCCTTACTAAAATAAAAGAATTTTTTTATCCAAAGTTACAGAAAACGAGAGAAAGCTTTCCCAATATTCCAAATGATTCAAGTTAAAATACGAGACCTAAGCTTTTAGAAGCAAAATCTCGAAAATTAGTTTTACGTAAAAAACTACACATATACTTCGTATTTATGAAACTTTATCAAATCAGGTAAACAAAACTCTGAGCTGATGAAAACTGTAGTATTTTATGAGCTTCAAATTGACGTAAAAATTCTCAGTTTAATAAAGCCTACCGTGAAAAAGTTTCGAAAGCTTGATAATTAATTTTCGACAGGTAATCCCGCCAGCTGAAACCGATCGTAGCTTAGTTCCGTGTGTCAAAAATGTTCATTTCGGTGAAAAGCCGCGCTTTTTCATGCACCAACCGGATCCTGTTTACATCAAAATTAAGCGTATACGTGTTTTTCCGCATTCACAATTAACCAAAACCGCATTGTGCCCGTTATACACATTTAAATTAACAAAACAAATATTTCATCCATCATGCATATAAGTAACAAATCCCTCATGTCCCCCATTCCAACTATTAAATTTCACAAAACAAATATTGCGGTTCTTTCATTACGCTCGACGTCCCCTCTTGTATACGTGTTATTAAAAAATAGACCGCAGCTGTGTTCATTTTTGTTAAAATTCCACTCTTAAAATATGCAACACGGTTAAAGTGGCTCGCGACGTTAAGTACTACTTGGCTTTTTTCTAGTGCATATCTCCGAATAATCTGATAATTAGGGGGCTCAAGGCTCAGGGCGAAACAGAATTAACATTTCAAATGCGAAATGTTTAATTAAGTCCGTTGTACAGTTTAAGACTCTCCAAACTAAGAAGGGAATTACCCACAAGACAAATAAAAAAGTTATTTATTGAGGTGCGGGATCTGTAAGACCGTAATTAATTGCCGTCGTTACTTATATTGGCACCCCTTAAACAACAACGACAAAGAGGAAGTAAATTATATTTGCCAGCCGAAGGCCGGCAAAAGGAGGTCAACTGAAACATCTAAATATTAAACAAATTGCCATTTTCAGCATCCACGTTCCACAAATGCTGAAAAAATTTAATTTTGAAAGAATGTTGGGCTTTATTGCGCGCTTCATCGCTAAATTCAGGCCATTTAGCGAATCGAAGCTATTTACGATGATTAGAGTAAATGTTGTTTGTCTGCAAGTCGTTTGAGGCCTGTTAAACAGCGCTGATTATTTTAAATAAGTAATGTGCCTGAAGGGCGTCGTGTATTTTTGTGTAATTTGTTTGACAAGTTAAATGGGGTAAAAGTTGGGCTTTCGTTGACACAATATAACAAAGTTTGACGCGTTGAAGGTGTAAATTTTCTTCGATTGTTGAATTAATTACGACAGTACGAGTGTTTAACGTCGTTTTATCGGTTGTTCTCCTCGCTCGTAAAATCTATAAACTATCATCGGGAACTCTTATCCAGCTTAATTAATTTAACTGAGCCGTAAGTAATACTTGAGGAAAATTTAACATTTAGCAATAACATTGCACGATTCTAATTAAGTCGCATAGACCGATGTATCAAAGGGAAAGGTTTGCTTTAAGGACATTAATTATACAGAAGTTGTTCTAGTGCTATTCACGGAAGGCCTGACAAATTGGACCGAAACGCGGGGATGAAAGATGCCGTCTACACCCGCAAGATAATCGATAGAACTCCACTGTCTGAAAAAAACCTCGTCCTGGAGCATTTTAACCGGTTTTAAAGCTAGTTTTGCTTTGTTCGCAGGCGACGGCCCCCACTACGAGTTCGACTCGAAGCCGGTGAAGGCGGAGCCGCAGAACGCCATCAACATCCTCAACAACGTCCTCTTGCGCAAATCGGTGGTGTCGAAGCTCTCCAGATACGACCTGCTCCTGGGGGTGGTGAAGGCCGAGGCGTACTTCGCGTTCAACGGCGAGGACGTCCAATACGGCATCGAGGCGGATCGCAGGTCGAAAATCCTGCGGACTTTTGTCCGAAATACGTACAGTTATCACCTCTCGGAGATTCTGGCGACGATTGTTAATGAATATACGGATTGGGAAAGACCCGTTCAACACCCGATCAATATCCGAGATGAGACGCTGGAAGCATTGTCGGATGCACAATATGTAGCACCCGTTGTGCATACGGCCGATTTGCATTCAGCTGAGCACAGGAATTCTTTTCTCTACGTCTTCGATTATCAGACCAAGTTCGGGGATTACCCGCAGGTAAGAATTAATATGATTTGTTTTGTTCCGGCTGGAATAATCAGAGATTTATGTGAAACAATTACGACGAAACACAATGCCAAAAATTCGAGTAACTACCAATCAGAAACAAGAGAAGATTAATTCGAAAAATAGACAAACAAGTTCTGGATAACTACTTTCAAGTAAACAAGTCAAACACAAATTTCCGGATATTTTTCCCGGATTATGAATAAAATTCGACCTAATTCGCAGGGATTTCAAGAAAAATGTAGCTGAAAGAATCAGAAAAAAACGACTTGTCTATTTCTAGAATACTTTTGCGACATTGTTAAAGAAATTTATTTTCTGATGGATCGGTTTATTCTAACAAAACAGCAAAGATGTTAGTATCAGGACAAATTTGTTTTTATGAAAGTTGAAATTTTACACAAACACTTAAATTGAAGAACGACTAGCATTTTCTTTTTCTAAAAATACAATTTTTATTTGTAAGATTTTAATCGTAGTTACTAGAAATTTGTTTTTGCTGCAAATATCAAATATCCCAAAACATCCCCCAATTCAAGTTTTTACAATTTTATCTTTTTATTAGGGTTGCACTATTCAACATTATAGAATATAAAATAACTATTAAGACAACAAGCGTTTTATACACAGCTTAAAAATCGAGGAGCGAAATTTTTAAACTATAAAACTTGTGTTGATTCAAAAATTGTTCCAACACTAATATTGCTTCATAAACTTTACTAAATTCAGAAATTGTCATAAGGAAAATTGTCACAACAATGTCAAAATTGGCAAAATACCAAGATAAGAAAATTTTATGTATATGTAGGGGAAGGTGGGGCAAGTCGTTACATTCTTGGCAACTATTTTTTTTCTTCCAATCTGTTACATGAGAAAAAAAAATCTACATGTAATATACATTTAACTTAAAGTATAAAATTATTATATACTTTTAATAATAAACATTTTTTTAATATTGTTTTAATTCAATAATGCAGATTGTATCAATGTGGCAAGTTGTTACATACATAAAAATATATAATAAAACAGAACAACTAGTGTTAATATCTTTTTTCATACGTTTGACATCAATACAATATTTTGCTGGTAGATGGCTCATGATTTTAGGTTTCTAGTAAAATAATATTGAATATTTGAATGAAACAAGCAATGTAACAACGTACACCAATCTGCCCCACCCTCCCCTACTTATAACATACGTTGTGATTGACGACGTATTTTATAGATGAGCCTATATAGGTAAGCTTAAATACACCATAGAAAGATAAGATAAAAAATAAGAAAAAAGAACAGATAAACAAACCAATAATAAAAGCGGTTTCAAATTAGTAAGATGTATTTTTGAGATAAAAATCTACAGTTTTATAATTAAAAATCGTTTTTTTTTCCTACTAAAAAGATAATCCTTACAATTTTTATAAAGCGTATAACAAACTCAACTTTATAGTAAATCATTAAAATTTTCTGACCAAGTTTCAGACTTTTTATTTAAAAGCCAAATGACGAATTTGTTTGAAATCAGCGACGAATTTTTTTAATTTTTAGTAAAATGTATTATTCTTTTAATAAAAAACTTTATTTCAACGACTCAAAAATAAATAAAAATCCCTTATGGAATGGTAAAATATACCCTATTTGAGAAAATAAAAAAATTTGTAAAAGTTTGTATCTCAGTAAAAAATAGCCGTATTTAAAGTTTAACAAAATCATTTGAAAGCTTTAGGTCTCCAGTTCTAAGGTACGATTATCACGCAATCCTAAAAATAGCTCGAGAAATAAAATTGTATTTTTTTATCCATGGGCTTGTAAAATGTTTCTTAGTTAAATCAATGCATAAGCCAAGTTTGTTTATACAGCTTCAATGTGCTTTTTCTAAGTATTCTTTGTCGCTGAGATATCAGACTTTTAATGAAAAAAGATTCTTTTGTCAATGACAATAACCGCACAGAAAATGTAAAGATACTTACAAAAACAGGAAGTTTCTACAAGATCTTCTTCGATTTTTTTAAATAAATTTGTTGTCACCCTCAGCATTGATTTAAAGAAAAAAGAAAAAAGCGACTTTTCTGATTGTTTTAGTAAATCTACCGCGTATTATTAAAATGAAAAAAAACGATAATTTTTGGAGTAACATATTTATTTGTATATTTAGCCAGAAACACGTAAAGTATTGCAAACTGAAACAATAAAAAGGATTACTGCTAAACCAATCCATCAAAACATTATTTTGTTGTAGTTTTTGTTGAATGTCATAAATTTGAGCAATGAATTGCATTTGATTTGAGTGCGATATAAAATTTGCTCATTTCTCATAAATTCCTCCATTTAAAAGCTCCTAACACTAAGTTATTCGTTCAAAAATATGAAATCCGTTCTAAAATCGCATTTCCTAGATTAAAACGAGAAGCTCCATATTGTTAGCCGAATGGATATTTTTGCTCAAGTTCTTCAGACGCGACCTGAAGGCACTTGCTCCAATATTCCATAAATTTGCAAGCTTTCTATTAGAAAAATAACCGATTTGTTGAAGTCGTTGGAAGACAAATAACCCTTCGCTCCTAATTACACCGCAAGACATAATTTCTTGTTATTCATCACAATCAATCAGTTTTTTCGCTCATCGTCAATTTGTGGTTTAAAAGCTTCTCACTTCCATCCCGCAGAGAAATTGTTTCTTCGGTAGATAAATGAAGTTTCCACCTTTGCCGCACAAAAACCGAGTAAGTGATGAATCCTGGCAATTATAAAAATTGAAGGTGTAGCGTCCTTCAACCGACAACCAGATTGATCCTCGGTCAGGATTGTGTCTTAAAGACGAGCTTTCACGTGTCAAAGCGTGATGTTTGTTTGATCACGGTTAAATATTCATGCGATAATGAGCAAGCCGAGAGGATTTATTTGAACTAATAGCCGGCGACAAATATGTTTGCTGAGGCTAATCGACGACATAAATAATAAGTGGAAATGCCATTAAGAAATTCAGTTTGCGTCCCTTTATCAATTAAAATTGGAAATTCTGTTTACATTCTTTTCACAATTGTTCGTTCCGACTGTCACAGCTGTGTCGCTGTGTCGAAAATTTGTTTAATTTCGCCTTAATTGCAGTTAACAAAGTCCAAACTCGACACAAAATGACAAGCTAAATTATTAGCCCCAAATAAAAGATCGCGAATTCTCTCCCAACTCGGATGATTAATTCCGGAGAGTTTTTAATCCGCTCAAAATGATCGAAGAAACTCGAACTCTTTCGACATGGAACTATTAAAACACTTGGTCGCCGTCTTATCGATTGAGTTTTTGGCCCGAATCCAAGTATGTGTTTTAATTTGAATCTTATATTGCGAATTTTCGTTAAATAAACAATCACCATCTATCACAGCAATTTAACGCAAATCGCGTCTACTTTATGAACTTTTGTTTCCTTGAAGCATTTTTTGATGAGGCGATTTTTTATTCAGCCGCAACCGTTCCTTTGTTTGCCGAGTTTAAATGCCTTTTTATGACGCTTAGGTCGGGATTAACGTAGATGCGAGCCGTTTTTCTTGCAAAAATGCAGTAAATTTGCGAACTGGGCCATATCTCGTTTCCAGTTCTCTTAAATCCAGTTTATTGCAACTAGCAAACAAGTCTCGATAGTAAAGTTTTATCTGCTGGCTGGACTATCTCATTCATAGTTGTCGACGAAACTACTTTCTTAATTACGTATAAATTTTAATAATTGCTTCAAATATTGACCGTGATAGTTTTAGTTTAACTTTTTAAATTCCAGAGGCATCCACCACTTTTACAGCTGCATATTTAAGTGCGCCAGGGCTACATTGTTTGCTTTATTAATAGTAAAAGCTCAAGCGCTGAAATCCATCTTTTTCAACTAGCTCTGAAAACAGCCAAAATGAGAAAGTCAACAATTGCGTTTTACGAGCTTTTCTCATTTAAAAAGTAGCACTTTCGTCCCTTTTCAAACGCAAATTCGCGATAGTTTCGGCCATCGCAACCTTTTTACGCTTTATAAGATGTGTGTTTTAATGTCGCAAACGCCATAAACATATTCAGCGAGTGCCGAACATAATCTCTACTTACCTTTCAACGGAGGGTTTAGTACTCTATAAAATGTATGTATATTCAAATTTTCTGCTCCCTGCTCGCACATTTTAAACGCTATAAAATACCGCGACATGTCTTTATTATTGATTTTTTCGCGGGGACACAGCTGAGCTTAAAAAGAGATTTATTTTCATCGACGGCTCGGAATAATTTGTCCAAACATCGTTAATATTTTCCAAGGCGATACAGACGCAATTTAACGCCGCACTAACCAAAACAGATATCGAAACGATCATTTTTCAACTGTTGCATTTGCCGCAAAACTGAAAATATCGCGATGAAAAATTATACCCAAATCAAAGTCCAAACTAATCAATGCGAAATGGTGGATGCGCCGGGATATTGCTCTCATTAAAAATTTGACTACGCTGCATATTTACCTATTTTTTAAATATATAAATTAGGTAAATACAGATAAAAGTAAAAAAAATCAGTTTTCGACAGTTAACATTAATTTTTTTGCATTTTTTTTAAATTGTAATCTAGAAATGAAGATAAGAAAAAGGAAAAACGTGTTTTTCGTCATTTCAATTTTATTTTTACTTAATTGAAAAGATGGATCCGCTGGGATATTCTTTTCATTAAAAAATAAATTGACTGCGCTGCAGATTTTTTTAATTTTATATAAGAAAAAAAAATAAAAAATAGTAGACTACATATCGAAGTGGAACTTCATTACCAAGGCAAAATTTAGCAATAAGTCGAGGTACGATAACTTCTTCTTGGATCTTCTTGGTATGGAAACGATGAACAAAAACACGATTAACCCGTCACACCAAAGAATAAGTTTTATTCTCACCTGAGGATGACCACTTTGTAGTTGAAACGCGTTGTGTTTTAAATAAAAGTTTGGTGTGACGGATTAATCGTGCTTTTGTTCATCGAGGTACGATAAAGCAACAACCACCAAGATTTGTATACTATTTTATTTACAATCATCATCCTTAAAAAACAGAAAGCCAAAAAAATATTATAAACATTTTATTTTAATTTTTATTAGTTTTTGGGTTGAAAAATGGCCATTTCCCAACCTGACTGTTATATAACCAATCAATCTCTTCTTAATCGAAACTGTATGTTTCGTCTCAATTATTAACAAAATTGTTAAATGTTGAAATGTGATACTTTTCAACTTTTCACATGCAAGGTATGTTTTTTTCATATGACTTGATATAATAATGGTCAGTTGCTGAAAAAATTAATATATGCCACAAAACTTTCCTTTTCTCAAAATTCTTTTATATGGGGCTCTTGAGTCTTAAACAACACTTTTCGTCTCACCATCTATTCGTTTCAAGTCAGATAGTGTGCAGAAAACTGCATTTTAGATACGATGACGATGCGTCAATAAAGAGTCTCGCCGCCGCTTGGGGCGACACGCCGCCACACGCAATTTGTTAAAAACACCAATGGCACATAAAGAAATTGCAATAATTACGCTTTACACTCGTGATACGCACAAATCTACACAAATAATAAACAACTTTTCTTTACTTGTACAATAGACTACTATTTTCGTCATTTCGACTACTTTTGAAGTAACAAAATCTTCTTGCTTCAATGATATGCGCGTTTGGCTTTGGAGTGCCGAACTCGCGACTCATTAGGAATGCCATTTCGATAAGAAATCCACTTATAAATCCTCGTCTGAACTGTGCCAGAAGAATGTCTCGTAATCCAAACGACACGAATGATGTAGAAGTTGCGCTTTTGTGACAGCTGCATATTACATTCAACCCCGGAATTGCATTCTAATGCCATCTGAATGTATTTATGCCTTGGTCAAAAGCTTTCGATTTAGCATTGCGCACTTTTCACTTAACAAAAAATGGAAAAACATACAAAACAGTCTTCTGTTAGCTATTAGCGCGAACAAATCCCCAAAAAGCTCGCAGTCAGAAGCAGTAATGTTCACGTAAGCGCGAATGAAATATACCGTATGAATAATTTAAGTCCTGCAAGAGCAGGAATTATCCCGTCGTTTGATTCCAGAGACAAGGATGCATTCACGGCGAGGAACTTCCCTACTTGTTCGGGGCCCCCCTCGTTGGAGGATTCATGCACTTTGGAAGAAACTACACCAAGTCCGAAGTCCTACTCGCCGAGACCACCATGATCTATTGGAGCAACTTTGCGAGGACGGGGTAAGAGCCAACCGCAGTTAACTTATATGTTTTAGAAACTCTTACTAATGTAGAATCCATGCTTCAACTACTCCCAACTTGCATTAACTCCAAAAAACTTGATTTTTGAAGGATTCAACACTCATAATCAGACTAGTTACAAAGTTCAGCATTTTTTATGCAGCAAACTCGGAGAGATAAATTAAAATTAAAACTGCTTGTAACTAAATGTTAATTTGCAGGAACCCAAATGAACCGCCAGAGGGAGTGCGACAGGAGCGAAATCGCTTCAAAAACATCGATTGGACGGCCTACGAAGCCGTCCATAAGAAATATCTGAATTTGGGTAAGTTGACGGACCGGAAACGACCGGTTCTGACGCGAGTGGATTAAATCAGCAACCCTCAACAAGCCGCAAATTTCAACAAAAAGAACATTCGAATCGATCTTTACGGATATTTCAATTAAAAATCAAATAATAATATTTTTAAGCGATTTAAAATTGTCACAACTGTATTCCGAAAGAATAAATCAATCAAAAATTATGAGAAATTACACAGCACAATTTCATTAATGTAGAGGGTGACCTGAGTAAGATGACAAACAACTCTAAAACAAAGAATCATGTTTGTAAACAAAAAGGCCAAAACACCAATTAGATTTTGCAAAAAATAAAAAAACCTAAATCTCACATAAATCCAAATATGGAGATTCCGGTGGCAAAAATTGAACCAGTGTCTTTTTTCCTACTTCAAAAAATCTATTTTATAATTAATTTTATACTTTGAACGTTATCCATTTTTATTTTTACTTTGTTTTTTATTCATGTATACAGAGTGATTTATTTATTTATTTGTTTTATTCATGTATACAGAGCGATTTATTTAAAATAATGAGTCTTATAGTATATTATGTTATTGGAAGTAAAAATGCTACTTTATGTGACGAAGCTAAACGTCTATTTTGCCCAACGTAATGAGGCAAATAATTCAGCTGAGCCAAAAACATACTTTTACTCCAAATAACATATACTATTTTATCCACAAACGTATTTAGATCAAAAAGAAACAACACTATAATTAGCAACTAATTGAACAAAATAATCAAGACACTTTACAACTATTGAAATCATAACAACGCTTATAAACAAACATCAAATGGATGACTAGTGTAGTTAGTAGTACAAAATGTCGAATGTTAATGATCTACAATGTACGTCTCCAGAAATTGCTGAAACAACAAAAGAGATAAGAAAAAAAAACATCAAACAACATTGATAAATGTCAATAATGTCACAGTAAAAGTAAAAACGCTTAGGTGCAAAAATAAAATTTTTCCTCCTGAAAAGTAAAACTTTTACTTGTGACATAATCACAAAAGTGGTTATTTTTGTGACGTTTGCGGATAAACTGTTTTTAACGCTAGTACAAAAATAATTGTATTTAAAACTGATGATGTAACACAATGTTTGAAACTTATCATAAAAATACTTTGCATTTATTTCCTGAAATTAATTACTCGGCATTATCAGATGGTGAAAGGTTGAGAAACACTGTATTTTAACATATGTATATTACATATTTTTGCATACCCTCTCACGCAATCTCATTAAGCGAGTAGTTCCATTCGAAAAATATTTTTTTCCATTCTTTCGTTTCTTTTGTTGCCTAATCTCATTAAAATGTTTGGCTCCTGGGCGCGTTTTCATAAACTCGAATAATTCGCTAACCAATCAATAAAACACGTCAACGTTTGAAAGTCGTAATTTATATCCTCCCCTGTAAAAATTTCAATCCCACTCGTCGCTTATTTATATCCTGGCTTAGTTACGCACACAATTAATTCGAAATTGACAAGCGACTTCCCCGAGGAATCGCACTTTTTCGATGACTTAATCCCTTAATAAAAAGCTTTTTAGTTTGGCTATATTAGGATTGGGGTGTTATTTAGTAGTCGAGGGATGAGATTAAACAAAACACAAGGATCGGGATTGATTTATATGCAAGCCGAAGACGGGAGGAGCGCTCGTGTGCTTCCGCCGGAAATTGGAAATTAGCGTTTCAATAGGAGGATTGGACAATGTTTCAACGAAATAACTGAAAAATAAATTGATTCTTCCCACTCTTGAAGTTTAATTCGAAACTTTTCACGTCAGAACCCATTCACCGGCAAGTAAAATATCTAAAATGAAAATTCGGCTTCCACGTTTCCCGTGTTTTCGCCTCCGGGTTGACGTAGACAAGCAGCCGACATAATTAGACAAGTCCAAAATCTGCAAATCGATCGCTCGAATTAAATATCCAGTGCAGTGGAATTTCCAACACGAACGTTTTATCAAAACACTCGAGTGCTCCGTATTTTGTTAAGTGCAGACGAGCAGATACAACGTTATTTCAACGCGAGAGGAATGTTAGTTTAGCAATTTATAACTGTATGTGAGAAAGTTTAAAGTAGGTTTATATACGAAGAAATCAATTTGAAACTCATGCATAAGAGGCGATGCGGAGACCTGTGCATCCCAAACCTTACATAAACACTTCCTGCTTTTTATTCATCGACGAAGATACACCGCTGGCCTCTAAATCAATTTTCTATTATCTTCACCAAAGAAGAAAAAAAGCTAAAAGACGATTTAAGGCCAAAGGAAACGCGAGGTTTAACGCTGGCTCGCACCTTGAGTCGTCCTGCAGGTGATCCAGGATAATAGCCTTTGGGAGGATTGCCGACAAAAGGACTCGCGTCCACTTTACGAAGCGACTGCAAGCGAATCAGTGTATTTTTTGTCAATTGACCAATGAGTCTTATCAACCATTTTCCAACATTTCCGAATCTGCAAGCAAAATTTATAATCTAAAAACTAAAAAATCGGAATTTTAAAATTGATTGATTGAACTATAGGTCTGGATTACAAACTATGGTCATATTTTGAATCAAAAAAGCTAAAATAGCCAAATTTGACCATCAAATTTTATAAAATATCAAACTTCGACATTTCACATAGATCCAAATCAGGAGATTCCAGTGGCAAAAACTGGACAAAACCGATATTTCTAATCTTAAAAATAAATTAAATAAATACTGTTGAGTTGTAATTTCATATTTTACAGCTAGGCTTAGTTTTTTAATAAAAATAATATTTTTTTAATATTACACATTTTAGTTATTTATTCGACGAGTTTGAGAGTAAATCGGACTCTTTATTTGACCGAGTGGATTTTTAAACCACGAGTGTAACGAGTGGTTACCATCCACGAGGTGGAATAAAGCGTCCGATTTACACTCAAACGAGTGGAATACAACATTTTATTCTTCGAATTAGAGTCAACAAGGCTTAAACTTGCTTTAAATCTGTTAAAAATAATTTGACGTTTTGTATTGAGAAATGCCAAACAGTTGTCAAAACTTCCTTACACGGGAGAAAAACCGTAAATTTTGACAGTATCGAAGAATAAAATAATTTATATTTTTGTCTCTATCAAGGTTAATCTAAAATCTAAGTTTTACTGGCAAGCACGAGGGGTATTTTGCAGACTATTTCCCAAACAAAATTTACAAAAAGACTTTTCTGGATCTTTTGGACTACTATGAGTGCATTTGGAGCAATTTAAAAGTTTTTAATTTTTTCTAAAAACTAATACATTTCACACTAATTCATTTCATGGATCCAAATCTGTAGATTCTGATGAAAAATTTTCAACAAGTGACTTTAATTTTGAAATATGTATTTATTAGTGACGTAAATACAGGTGTGTCAGAACTCGCGCCCCAGAGAAAAATTTCAAGTACGATAAGACCCCAAGAACATGGAAAAAATTCTATCTGTCAAAAAAATGTTTAATGTCCATTTAATGATTCTGATAATCTTGTTTTTCTATAATTAGTAAAAGTACAAAAATTTTGCCAATAAATGCCACAAATAACATTAAAGATTGTTACAATTTAGGATACAGCTGTCTTGTTTCCTTTTCTAATAGCCTGTAGCGCAAAAACATGGAAATTTTTTTCCAACAGAAATGCAAAATTTAAACTCTCATAACTTCGAAGTTTTTATTGATACAATTTTTTTTTAACATTTTTTTCATGTTTCTAGTATCTTATCGTACATGGCATTTTTCTTTGGGGCGCAAGTTCTGGCGCACCCTGTATGTTTTTAAATAATAGGAGAAAAAAGAATAGAAGAAATTGTTATAGCGAAAAGTTGATTAAGAGTCTTAGTTGCGTCACCTTGTGCAATTTCTTATTCAAATTCAAATGAAACTTTTGATTAGCGGCCTCAACCCTTGTTTGACAGCAAACACCTTTTCGCTATTTGCATTTCTGATTGAATTTTTTTCAGATACGAAACCCAAACTGAAAAACCATTATCGGGCCCACCGTCTTTCATTCTGGCTCAACCTCGTCCCGGATTTGCACAAGCCGGGCGGCGACGACGTGCCCATGTCCCATCACAAACTGGCCGACGACGACCCCCCACCCCCCAAACTCCCATCGCTGAACCCCCGCAAACTCCCAACAACCGAAACCCCGGAATTCGGCCGCTCCCCAAGCTCCAACTCCTCGCTCGTCGCCACGGAGAGCCCGGACTCCACCGAGCGCGTGGAGGAGTTGGGGGGGCTGAGCACCACCACCCACCCCGTGGAGGACGGCTTCGCGGCCTACTCGACCGCTCTGAGCGTCACCATCGCCATCGGGTGCTCGCTTTTAATCCTGAACGTTCTAATTTTCGCGGGGGTGTATTACCAACGTGACAAAACTCGCATGAACGAGAATCGCGAGCCGAAGAAGCGTAACGAAAACGGCCAAATGCCGAACAACATCTGCGGCGACTTGGAGAGCAGCATAATAGGCGTGAAGAGCGACCCGGCCACCATTCTGGGCCACCACCACTCCCACCACCAGCTGCCGCCCCCGGAGTTCGCCGACTTGCCGCAGAACAACGCCACGTTGCCGCGGCCGCCGCCGCCCCCCAAGATCTCCAAAGCCAACGTCAACACGTTGTCGTCGAACCAAGTGCCGGAGAACCAGCCTCTGCTCTCCACGCACAGTATACAGTTGATTAACACGGGGACGTTGACGAAGAAGAACGCTCACGTCAAACAAAACACGATGGAGGAGTTGCGAGTGTGACGAATTCAGTGATACTTTGCTCAAACTTTGTTTTTTATCGGGGACGGACTCGGTGTTTTCTATCTGTGAATAGTAGGCTAGGCGATGACCAACAGGGCCGGACTATTTTGTATCCTTCCCTACTGTGCGACAGTGAACCGAGACGAAATGAACGGTTTTCAGCCGGTTTTTCGACTCTAATGCGAATGTTGTAACGGAAAAATCGAATGAATGTTGTGTAAATACCCTAGATTAATAAAATGTTAAATAAACAATTTAAAACTCGCACGTGTGTTTCATTTACTCACAAAAAAATCGAATTTTAACATTTTTAGAATTCACTTTCTAGCATTTTTGACTTTAACAATTTTTAATAACGATGTTGGCTTTATTTATAGCGGGTGAGCAAAAATGACTGTTTAAGTTGGCAATACTACAAATAGGGATGTCCAAAACTCGCACCATAGAGAAAAATGTCAAGATAAGATACCAGAAACATAGAAAACATGTTTTGTCAAAAAAAATTCACATTTATATTTTGACATTTGACTTTTTATGTCTATTTAATTCTGGTTAACACTGACAACGTCATTAGACGCTTCAAATTAAACACAATTATAAAATAAAATAACTCGAAACTGATGTTTTGATGTTATAAAATAAGTTAGTTAATAAGAGTTACACTGCATACGTTGTAACAACTATACCATAAAAGCGTATAAGGTTAAATATGGAAAACTGTCAGTGACATACCACTTGTAACTTTCAAAATTAGTTAAAAGTTTAGCTTAGAATTTAATCAAATTAAACAGAATAAACCATTTTTTGATCTGGAAAACTTAAATTTTGAAATTTGGTTCAATTTAATCATCTTTTAATAAATCTTAAGAGTGGTAAAAAAGTAAAAACAAAAACTTAACTAAGAAACTCAATGGTCACAATTTTAATGCGTCATGAAATTCACCACATGTCGCTTCTACCACCTTAACTACATTTTGACAATTGTTTATAAAAGAAATAAACTATATGTCTATCCTGCTGTCAATTTTTCAAATGTAACTTTAATCACATTTGTGATTTTTATAACTGACAACCCTGACAACAAATAACTTGTGTTATTGACAAAGCTTTTAAAAATTTAAAATTTTTGTTTACTGATTAAAAAAAACACTTTAAAATAATCCAAATTAGTTTTTTTTTCTTAAAATTGGTGGATGCGCCGGTATAATCTTTCCAAATTATTACAAGTTTTGCTTGAAGTTAAACCAAATTAAACAAGATAAACCATAGTTTGCTCGGTAAAACTTAAATTTTAAAATTTGGTTCGAGTTAATCATCTTTTATTAATTTAATTTTAGTAATAGATTTTTGAGTGGTAACAGGGTAAAGTCAAAGAACAATTTACTTTTAAAATTTATTGGATCAAAATCGAAGTCAACACATAATTTTACATTACACTATTGTACATAATAAAATCTTGTCAAATACACAGGAAACCGGGCCATAAAACCGACCCTGAAAAAAACCGTAACGCCACTACAGCTACGAGTAAAATATAGTATTTCATCACTTTCATCAGACTTTAAGACAGGAAACTTTACATAAGAGGAAGAATTATCGTTTTTTATACACTACATGATATTAAAAATATGATTTTTACAATATCTTATATCTCGAAAGGAGTATCGAAAAAGTAATCTTCGGGAAAGGTACGTCATATTTGGCACACAGTTTCAACAAAACGAAGACTTTGTCGGAATGGGGAACTTTCAATATAATTCGCCTTTCCCAGATAATAAATAAAACATACGCTCGCATGTTTCTCCGACGAAAATAGAAGGAAAAAATTTAATAACAACACTTGAGCAAAACAGGAATGATCATTTCATGTGGAAAATGTAAATTTTTTAAAATTGCTTGTAAACAACTGCTCTTTCGCAAAATATCGGGCTTTATGAAGGGCAAAAAGTTAATTGGTTTCGAGACGGGAAAATATTATTTTCGTCGATTTCTGACGCCGAAAAATAAACCCGAAATCTGTGATAATTCAAATGAATAACCAATTTAGAGCGTTAAATTCATATCTTTGGCATTCCCAAGTTCCCCATTCCAAGACTTGAGCAAAAAATTCCTAACAAAACGTGCGAATAACAAAGTTGCACTGTAACAGAATTTGGCATCGGAAAATCACGTTTTCAGTTGAGCTTTCATAACTATGTACATAAAAACAATTGGACAGAGAGGAAATCACTCTTTCATTGCAAGATTATTGCGGGGCGGTGCCTTGGTGTTGCGATTTCGGTGGCGTTGAGCCCTAATTGCAGGAGTTCATGACAGTGGACCTCCGACTGTAGCCCCGCCGACTGACGGCAGCCCCCTGGGCCTCGCACTCGCGCCGCACTCGGTCTATGATATCAGCCACTAGTTTCTCCTCCTTGACGCGCTGCTCCTCCCAGTCGGCCGCCTTGCCCTAAACCAAACGAAAAAATCCAATTCGACTAAAACCACAAACCCTACCTCCTTCTTCTTGGCCTTGGGCGGCTCCGACGTCTCCACCACCTCCTCCTTGATGCTGATGTTGAGCTCCTCGTGCTGCTCCATGTTCTCCGAGTGTCGCGCCGATATGTGCCCCATGTACCCCTTCCGGCTCTTGAAGAACACGTTGCAATGCGTGCATTTGAACAGGGGGGCCGGATTCACCAAGTTATTCACATGCAACTTGTACTTGTGTCTGTACCAATGCGTTCGCGAAGCGAGAACTTCACCACAGAGTTTACAAACAACACTGCCGTCATGGCGAGTCAAGTACTCCAACAGTTCGTTCTTCTTCTTCTCGTAGTTGTCGGCCATGAGGGCGCACTCGTCATCGGTCAAAAAGTGCACCCCGGCGTTCGGCTCCATCCCCTTCTCGAGCTGCTCCTCTTGCTCGACCGACTCGCCAAGCATGTTGCGCGCGGACTCGGTCGAAATTATCACCGTCTCCTGCTTCACCGAGGGGACGATTTCCACGGTTATGGACGAGGGGAGGTTAGTGTGGTTCTGGTTATTCTCGGGGTAGTCGGAGTACTCCTCTGGAAGAGATGTTACAGGGTTAGTGGGCAAAAATACTGTGTTGCTAGGTAACTGGGTATTATTCAAACTGTCGTTGCTTAGCAATAATGAGTTGTCATGACCGACTAGGTCGGGCGAAACAGCGGGTAATGTTTAGAGGTAGATTTATTAATAATGAAAGTACAATAAACAAACAATTAATTCTTATGATAGATTTTGTAAAGTAAAATTACACAAATAGTATAATACATTTTGCACCAAAGTGACAGTTAAAAATAATCTATAACAAAAATAACACAAATAAAGAAATCAAAATATGATACATAGGCTAAAAGCATTTTCAAAAAACAATGATAAATCGCTCAAGAAAGGAAAAACAATTGTATTGACGACGAAACGCGATGTTTTAAAAAAATTAAATTTTTTCAATAAATATTTTTCTCAATTTGATAACAAGATGCAATAATTGCAAAAAATATACGGGTATTCTGTTTCTTTTTTCACTTAATCTATTTAACATTAGTATATAAATTTTACATTAATTGCACTTAGTAATTATTATTCTTACTAATAAAGACCGTGACTGTTTTTTTATTATTCAACAGTAACAATCTTAATGGAAGAACAGTGACGAAACTGGCCTCGGCCTAACAAACGTAAAAACAAAAAAATAAACAAACAAAAAACACTATCACATTGTGATCATACAAGCTATTGCGTTAGGTTTTTTAAGATATCTGATATCTTATTTTGATTGAATTGCCATTAGCTCTATTAAAACAATTAACAAATTTGTTTTAGGTGTTTTTGTTAGTTCTACACTAAAAAGGAGAAAATCAAGCTTAGAAAAGAAATAAATAGGATTGTCGAAAAATGGCAAATACAGAATTAAAAAAATATTGTTTTTCAATGTCCCAACACCTAAATTAAATACTTGATAGTTTACTTAATTGATACATTTGTGCGCTGGCGGCAATATATGAAATATAATTATTGTCTACTCTGTGCAGTCAATAGTTTAAATTATTATGTATAAACATTATTCTACATCTTATCATGTAAAAGGGTTATAATAGACGAAAATTTGTTATGAACAAAATATTTTGTGTAAATGAACTATTCTAAAATATTTGCAAGACCCCTAATCTATCCAAACCAAAAAAAAAACTAAGATAAACTTTAGAAACAAACAAAAAACTAGTACGATGTTAATATTGAATTAAAAAATAATTGTGGATTATAAACTGCTTAGCAGTAATTGGTAAATTATGTCTAATAATTACAGAGCCTTTACAAGGCCATTTTTAACCATATCGGGTTAATCACAAGAATAACTAACTAGTACTATTTGGGAAAGCGCAAGCGCGAAAATTTACACCCGACGAGAGTGAAATTAAGTTGACAACACTGCATACAATTGCCAACTTGATTTCCCGCGTCAGGGTGGGACATTTTCGTCGTCGGCGTTTTCCTCTAACATAAATTGTACTTTGAATTTAGCGAAAAAACTTCTCAAAAACCTAGCACCACGTACGAAATCAATTCATAATTTTTTAATTGCGTTCCAGCGCAACCGAATCGTGTTCAGGAGGTCACCCACGTGCTCACGGTATCGGAAAAAACCCCATCGGGGGAAACACGACGTCTTTGGGCATAAAACAATCGTGAACAGTCTTCATGTGGTTTTTCATTTTGTCGGGTCTCGAGAACTCCTTCTGGCACACGGGACACGGAAACACTTTGCGCTGGTGTCCTTCGTGGTAGAGGAACGCGTGCCGCTGGAAGCTGTACTTGTTCTTGAACGTCTTCTGCACGTCGACTTTGGCGCACTCCGTGCACTGGTACACCCCCTCGTTGATGGAGGCGTAGCGGAAGAGGTTGAGCCCTCGGACGGACATCTCCGTCAGCTGCTCGGCGGGGTCCTGGCTCTGGGAGGTGGCAC